CTCTCTCTCTCTCTCTCTCTCTCTCTCTCTCTCTCTCTCTCTCTCCACTGAGCCCACATGGGCCCTTTCCCTTTCTCTCTGCCCACTGTCCTTCTGAGGAGACAGCTTTCTGTCTCTCTCCCCCTTCCCTTCTCTCTCGCTTTCCCTCTCTCTGTGTCCCTCTATTTTTCTCTCTTTCTCTCTCCCCCCCATACACCCTACCTCTCTGCTCTCTCTGCATGGCGTATCTGTCTGTCCCTTACCCCTTTCCAGCAGGGGGACCCGCCAGGGTCACTCACGCCATAAATCATAACACTGTGTCCCAAGAACTATGTCTCTCCAAACCTAATTGTGCCACTTGGTACAAGGAACTCACTTCTTTATCCAAAACATGAAAATGGTCATGGCTGACCAACAAGGAAGCCCATCGAGACTACAGCCAGACCCTCGCTAAACTCGGGGGATGGTCTTCACTTGCTCTGCTTTGTTTTCCTCCTCCTCCTTTTTCCTCCTCTTTAGCAATTGATAAATAATGAAAGTTTGTAGGCCAGAAGGTTACCAAACCATAACAAATCTCCCTTCAAATATCCTTGTTAATAATGCTGAGCAGACCCAAGCACACATCCAGGGTTGGAACTGGCATACCCCAATACCTACCCCATCTATTGGAGTGTGTGGAGGGATTGGGCGGGTAGAACCACAGCCACAGGATCCCCATGACTTGGGCAACAGCGGCAGGATATCAGAGAGGAATGTCAGTGAGGGTCCAGTACTGATGGTGTACCAAAGCAGTGGCCTTGACCCTGACTGGCAACTCATTACACAATGAACATTTGCAAGAAAAGCTGTTTGGACCAAAGGGTTTACTGCATGCTACACAACAGCTCCCAATGCCAGTGGATGAAGAGGCGATGGAGAGGTGGGAAAGAGGAATGGAGTGTTTTTCTTGTTTTTATCTTTTAATTATTGCTTATTTTTATCTTATTTTAATTCTTTTTTAGCTCTCCTTAGGGAGGCACTACAGGAGTGGGGGGAGACGAATGGGATTGAGGAGCATGATGTGAAACTCCCAAAGAATCAATAAAAATGGAAAAAGAATTTAAAAAACAAAACAGAATTTGAAATGTAAAAACATATAGTAATAATAATGTAGAGACACCCAGGTATGGTGGCACACTCTTTAATCCCAGCACTTGGCAGGTAGAAGCAAGTGGATCTCTGACAGTTCCTGGCTGGCCTGGTCTGCATGATGAGTTCTGGGAGAGCCAAAGTTTTGTAGAAAGATCTTGTCTCAAAAAAAAAAAAACAAATTGAGTCAGGTGGTGATGGTGCACGCCTTTAACCCCAGCACTCAAGAGACAGAGGCAGCCCTATCTCTGTGAGTTCAAGACTAGCCTGGCCTACACAGAGTTAGTTCCAGGACAGGCTCCAAAACTACACAGAGAAACCCTCAAAAACCAAAAAGAAAAAGAAAAAAATTTTGAGGTAAAATTCCTTCTTTGCTGGCTAGTTTTATGTCAATTTGACCCAAACTATAGCAATCTGAGAGAAGGGAAGGGGAACCACAATTGAGAAAATGCCTTCATAAGACTGGGCTGCAGGCAAGCCTGTAGGGCATTTTCTTAATTAGTGATAGATGTGGGAGGCTCAACCCATTGTGGGTCGTGATGTCACCACACACACACACACACACACACACACACACACACACACACATGTTCCCTGTTTTAGAGGTTTTTTATTATTGTGCATATTATTGTGTTTATTTTTTAAACTAATTTTTTAGGTTAGCGTACAAAGAATTAGGTTTCATCGTGGCATCTTGGCACCTGTGTGGCACTGTACTTCGTTCTCGTTTGTTTCCTGCCCCCATTCCTCTCTCCAACTTCAGCTGGTTCCCTCTCTTCTCCTCGTGAGTCCCCTCCTGCTTTCCTCTTACCTATCCTGCATTGCCCTCTTTCCTTCCCACTTCCCTTTGTGAATTCTTCCTCTTCTTTTATAAGCCCTTTTCTAGTTCCGTGACCTACAAACACATATATAAATATGCATATATATTCATGTATATATAAATTTAAATCTGGGTTATGCATGTGAGAGAAAATGTGACATTTGGCTTTCTGAGTCTGGCTTACATCACTCACTGTAATGAGTTCCAGTTGTACTTGTTTCCTGAAAATGTCATGGTTTCACTTTTCTTTACACCTGCACGAAATTCCATTATGTATATAGACCACACATTATGTTGTCGTAGCAAGTCTAGGAGAGTCATCATATCTAGGGTGAACATTAGAATGAAATCATTGTTCATCACTGTATCCAGAGTACACATCAGGATGAATACTTGTTTTCTAGAAGTACTTAGACCTTGAAGAAATCGCTGTGGAAAACAGTGATTGTTCTATCTATAGAGTGGTATTTCTGAAGGAGTTATCCATCTGTTGCATGACCTTGTGTTATGACCTAGCTGCCCTCGCTCCCACTGACAGACAGCGGGACAGCGGAACTTCCTTGTGGTCTGTAATTGACAAGAATGTTTGTGTTTTTTCTGACTGGTGGTTTTCCACAGAAGCAGTTGAGGTATAAAAGGCTTTAGCTCGGGGAAAAATAAAGGTTGTTGTTCTTCCAGCTGAAAAGAAGCCTCCGTGTCTCAGTTCCAGCACCTCCCCCACCAGTCTTGGCATCTAGGCGTCGCTGGCATGGCAACCTTGGTCACAAGACTGTCCTAGCACAGCTGGATTATCTTGTACTATGGGGTACTGCAACAGTGCACAGTAAGGACTAAAATTGTTGCAGGGTGTGATGCTTCCTTTGGAAGACATATAGATTAGATCAGGGACTTGGGTATGAGGAACTTGTTTTATCCAAAAGACAACTTTTGTGTAACAATAAATACACTTTTGCACAGTCGTTTAGGGTTCAGTTTGTGGCAACTGTTCCTCCCTGCTTCCAGAGAGCCTAAAATTCATCTTTGAGTGACCTTTCTTCAATCAACCCGCACAACACAGAACACCCTGACGTTATGTAATCATTTATCTGCAATGGACCTCTAGGCTGGTTCCATTTCCTTGCAAGGTTCTGAATCTTGTGAGTAAAAAATGCTATAACAGTGGCTCTGAATCTCTGTGTTATGTTGACTTAAAGTCCCCCGTATGATCCAGGAACAGCATATCCGAGCCATATGATTGTTACAGTTTCAGTAACTTCAAACAGAAGTTTGAGGAACTTTCACAGTATCTGCACAAGTTTATGTTCTCATCGACAGCACAGAAGAGGTCTTCTGCCCTCCTGTGCTCACCAGCATCTGTTGTCATTTGTTTGCTGGACAATAGCCATTCTGGCTGGGGTGAGATGGACTCTCAAAGCAGTTTTAGTTTTCTCTACTGGCTAAGGACGTTGGAGACTTTTTCGAGTATTTGTTGGCCATTTGTATTTCTTTTGAGAACTGTCTGTTCAGTTTATTAACTTGTTTATTTATTGGATGATTTTGTGTGTGTGTGTGTGTGTGTGTGTGTTTAATATGTGTCATTCTTTTTTAAAATTCATTTATTTTATCTATATGGGTGCTCTATCTGCACGTATGCCTTTATTTCATAAGAGGATATCAGATTCCACCATAGATGGTTGTGTGTCAACATGTGGTTGCTGGGAATTGAACTCAGGACCTCTGGAAGAGCAGCCACTGCTCTTAACCTCTGAGCCATCTCTCCAGTCACTAAGATCCTTGTTCTGATTTGGTTTAGGATGTCAAGGCTCATACACTGATCCTAAGCATAGTCTTGGTTTGAGAGAATCTTTCTAGTAAAAGTCTAAGTAGGAGAGTCCTCGTCCAGTTCTGCTTTAGTATACTAACATGGTTTCTATAAATACAAAGGCAGTTTGAACTGGCTTAGAGGATGCATTTATTGGCACAGAGAGTGAAACAAAGAAGAAATGTGGGTGTGAGTTCAACCAAGTGAGCTCAATCAAGGGTCCCCTCAAACTTGGAGAGGTTTTCATTTTAATGGAAACAAAAACAAACCTGAGTCTTCAGAGCAATCATTAAAACAAATGTCATCCTCTGTTACTGAATCACAGAGTAACTAAATAGATATTCACTGTCCTGTCCTCTATGATGCCCGTGGGCCATTACTATCATAGTGGCTTTTCAGAGAATAAAATTAAAACTGGTGCAGTGCTGGTTCTGGTCTTTGTGAACTATCTGACCTTTGCTGCCAGAGGCATTAAATCAACAGCGTATGGCCTCCTTACTTAGATTACAGCAACCGAAGCTTGCAAGTGACACCTACTCTGAGTCATTCTCTACACTTTGACGACAGAGCTTTCTCTTCAAGTCTGTGCGTGTGTGTCTGTGAGTCTGTATGTGTTGAGTGTGTGTTCATGCACAGCGTAGAGGATCAATATAGATCAATGTTGATCGATAAAGATCAATAGAGAATACCTCTTTCTATCACTCTCTACCTTATTTTTTGAGACAGGTTCTCTCACTAAACATAGAGATCTTTGATCTGGCAGGACTAGCAGGCCAAGAAACCTCAAAGAGCCTACTGTCTCCCCAGAGCTGGGATTACAAATGCATTTTGGAATTGGACCTCTATGAGTGCTTTACCAATTGAGCCATCTTTCCAGCACCTCTACCAACACACATACACTCACACACCAATAGGCACATGCATGAGCATACACATACTTTTCATGTCATTGCTTTATTAGCTAACCTTTTCTGATACAATAGATGACTGAAACTAGTGGTAAGCACTGCATGTTTTCACAAACACACAGATATTCAGAACACTGATCACTGTGCATCATCCAGTTCTCCAGTGAAATTTGTCTTTAACGGAGGTAGTATTAATACTGCAGGTTTTAATGCTCTTAGACACATTTCTTAAGTAAGATTTGTCATTATTTAACTGGGGTACTTGGGTTGCAACCATAATGCATGTTTTTACCAACTAAACCACCTCCTCAGCTCTTCTTCACACCCTCTGATGGCCCTGAATTCCCTCCCTGCAAGGCCTGCATGCCCCCTTCTCTGGCCATCCCTGTCTCTGGATCCCTCATACAATTTGTGCTCTGGCCTCCCAGAACTGCTCCCTGAGAGACACAAGCTATAGGGGTTTGTCTGCACGTTTCCAATGGTCCAGCCTTCCATGGGCCACAGTCCTCTTGGCTCTGAAGAAGCATCTTCCAGGATTCATTTCAAAGTAACTTCACCCTAAAGTGCCCCCAACCAGCAGTTTTAAAATCAGCTGCTTCGGGGTTGGAGAGATGGCTCGAAGGTTAAGAGCACTGGCTGCTCTTCCAGTGGTCCTGAGTTCAATTCTCAGCACCCACATGGTGGCTCACATTTATCTGTAATGAGATCTGGTGCCCTCTTCTGACCTGCAGGTAGAGCACTGTAAGCATAGTAAATAAATTAAAAAAAAAAATCAGCTGCTTCTTCCTCAGCCCGTTAGCCCCACTGTCACAGCACTTTTTACCAACATAGCGCTTTCAGCTGGCTCGCTTTTACAGCTGTGCTCTGTGGGTTTTAATGAGGAGATGGTATTCTAGCCATACCCATCACTTACTATTAGTGTAATTTTTCAGGAAATGTATTTATTAATTGAGTGAATTGAGTTTAACTGAATGGAATGAATGAATGAATTTGCTTTTCCATAAATTAACCTCTCTCTCAACCCACCTCTCTTTTAATACACATCTACATATATTCCCATGTTGGAAGAAAGGGAAAGAGTGAGGAGGGGGAGGAACATGGCTGCCTTTACTTACCATGGATGCTCTGTGCCCAGTGGTTGATGGGAGAGGTGAAGGGCTGTTTTCCCTTTGTGGAAAATCCAAGCAGGAGCTATTCAAAGACCTTGAGCTTCCTGAGTCGCTGTGCAGTTGTCCCTTTTCTGACAGCATCCTGGACAGAAAGCTGGCCTTGCGACTGCCCGGGCCGAGTCTGTCTATCCAGACCCCACTCTCTCGCACACTGCCATCGCTGCCTTGGAAGTGACTTTGAAGATCTGCGAGAGGTTTGCCTGAGGCCTCTGGGCCCTGGGATCGCTCCCAGTTTCCTAATGTAGATGGTGGACAGTGGGGAGAAGCTGTCATTGTACCTAACCAGGACTGAGACACTGCGGTCTTTGAACCAAAGAGGGAATGGCATGGTTGCTGTCCTGGGTGCTGAATTCTGGCGCTGTCGTCCTTGGGACAAGGGCTGTGGACGTGGAGCTGTCCACTGTTTGCAACTTTCTCCGCCCAGTCTCTTTTGCTGCAGGAGACGTCCACATCATGTTGCCTGGGGTGTTGAATTTGCCACATGCTTTTAGACCTTGGTATATTGACTCGGATGACTTGCTGTTTATTGTTGGCTGAAAGCAGTGAGAATCTTTCGGGTAAAGAAGAACAAACCATACATGGCTGGGCCCCCACGTAGTTGGTTGAATGGAACGGAAGGCCTGCTTCATTCTCAGTGTTCCCACTGCTGGACTTGCCATCAAGTGCCCTCATGATCTTTCTGACGCCCAGATGAAATATTTCCAGGATGTTGAGTAACAAAGAGAGGGCAGCAATGCTGTACATAAAGAGCATGAAAATGGTCTTCTCTGTAGGTCTGGATACAAAGCAGTCCACCGCATTGGGGCAAGGGGGTCGGGTGCATTTGTAAAGGGGCTGCATTTGAAACCCATAGAGAATATATTGGCCTATCGTGAACCCTACTTCTAGCACAGATCTGGTCAGGATGTGTAAGACGTAAGTACGCAGCAGGCATCCTCTCAGAGGGACTTTATGAATCCTTCTCTGCTCCTCGAGTCTCCTCAGCTCCCTCTCTACCCTTTGTTGCTCTTCCAAGTCAAGCTCTGGGTCCTCCATCTGGGCCCTAAGGTGTGACTTCTTCTTCTGCCTTTGCTTCTCAAAGTCCCTGAGTCTATAAAGTGCATGGCCCATATACACCAGAGATGGGGAGGACACAAAGATGATCTGCAAAACCCAGAATCTGATCAAGGAGATAGGGAAAGCATCATCGTAGCAGATATTGTTGCAACCCGGCTGCTGGGTGTTGCAGGCAAAGGAGGACTGTTCATCATCCCAGACATCCTCAGCAGCGACACCAAGTACCAACATCCGGAAGATGAAGAGGATAGTCAGCCAGATTTTCCCCACTATAGTTGAGTGGGAGTGAACTTCCTCTAGGATGCCACCTAACAAGTTCCAATCCCCCATAGTTAGAAAGTCACATCTGAAATACACAGAAAACAAAGAAGTTAGCAAGACTGAAAGATTTAACTTGCAAAGGTACATGCTCATCAATATCACAGAGCCTTTGCTTAAGTCAACACAACTCCCGAGATCTCTGCTTCATATTTGAGACTGGAATTTTCCAAGGAATATCAGTTTCTGGACAAAACACTAATTCTCTACCATCTAACTCTTGTCTCCCACATGCATTTGCCTTTCGTTCTAGACTACCTCTGTGAATCTCCATATTTGTACAATGCATTCCCCAGTCTTGATCATTTTTCTACTCATTAGAGAAACCTATTTAGCTCACATCTAACACGATCTTAAATAAGGCTCGACTCTTCTAGAACTTTTCTCGAGCAGCCCAGCTCACACTGACTTTTCCGTTTCCTAAGTTTCCACAGCCATTCATTCATTGGGTATTTTCCTAGAAGAATTTTGTGATGTTTGTGTTTTCTGTCTCATTTCTTGGAAATATATAATTAAGTTAAAATATACAGTGGCACGATTTTTAATTTTTAAATTCATCTATTAAATATTTCCTGAAGTCTTACTGTTTCCATTGCGCAGATGCCGCAAACTCAACAACAGGTATGGTGTATCGGGTCCCTCACCGTAACTGACCACCAAAGACTACTACTAACCTAAAAGGTGGACCAAGATTGAAAAGAAAAAATGAATACCAACCAGAAAGATTTCAAGTGAAACATATAATTTTTAAAATTTTTCATAATCCCCTAACACAAAATTAAATTCCAGATGGACTAAAATATTAAATGTAAGCCAGGCATGGTGGCACAGGCCTTTAATTCTAGCACTTGGGAGTCAGAAGCAGGTGGGTCTCTGAGTTTGAGACCAGCCTGGTCTACAGAGAGAGTGCCAGAACAGTCAGGGCTACACAGAGAAACCCTGTCTCTAAAAACAAAAAGAAAAAAGTAAATGTGAAAGAGTGGGCAATAAAAGTCCTAAAATAATAACCAGGCATATTGGTGTTCCCGTAATCCCAGCTACTAGAAGCAGAAGGATCATTTGAAACAAAGAGCTTAAGGCTAGCCTGGGGAAAAATGGCAAGATTCCTTCTCAAAAGGGAGAGAGAGAGAGAGAGAGAGAGAGAGAGAGAGAGAGAGAGAGAGAGAGAAAAGAAAGAAAGAAAGGAAGGAAGGAAGAAAGAAAGAAAGAAAAGAAAAATGAAAAAGTGGTGGACTGGACATGGAGGCACATACCTATAATCTGGGACTGTGTAAGCCACCTTTTTGGGGTGACTTCTGTCTGGTTCCTAGCTGCAGCGGGCTCGAACGTTCCAGGGTGGAAGCATGAGGGTTATACTTATTAGGCAAAAGGAACATAGATATAGGAGAAATAATAGACAGAAACATAGGATAATATTGGGAGGGAGTTCCAGTGAATACTGAAAGTTGCCCGCATTTAATTTCCTTTTGCTTAAATACCCCGACCCCATAAGGTAGGAGTAAGATTTTTTAAAAAAAAAATTGCATTCACATGATACAAGGAATGAGCAGACCAGCTGAAGGATTGCGGGCTACATTCCTAGTTAAACATTGCAGGAACCAGACAAGTAACACTAACACCCTAGACCAAAACATGCTGTAGGCAAACCACTCCCTGGGTGGAATCCATTGTTATCTTTCTAAGCGAGTAGGAACCTAGTTAGATCCTAGACTTTTGTCTGATATAGAAAAGATCTACTTCTTAATACAATACCTGAAATACCACGTCTGGCTATTAGCCACACCTGTTGGCAATAACCTTGAGAGAGCAGACCCCTCTGACCTGTTATTTGGTCTGTAGACAATAACCTTGAAGGAACACAAGTAAGTTCCAACTCTCTGACTTTTAGTCAAAGTAGAATAAACCCATACCTGTGGGCCCTGTCACAGGACATGGGAGGCACAGAGGCAGGAGGACTATGAGTTTGAGGCCATCTTGGGCTTCATAATGAAACTCTCTCTCTTTAAAAGTATTAAGATGCAAAAGAATGTTTTAGCTGGGGACTTGGCTCAGTTGATAGAGTGCTTGCCTAGCATGTAAGAGTCTGGGCTCACTCACCAATACCACTATTGTGTGGCAGGAAGTAAAGGTAAGAGGGTCAAATGTTCAAGGTCATCCTTGGCTACGGAGTGAGTTCAAGACCAGACTGCGCTGTATGAGACCTTGTCTCAAACAGCAGTAGTAGCAAGCAGCAAAATAGGGCATATTTGTAATCTTCGAATAGGACACGGCAGAACAACACCCACATGCCTGCCTGGGGTTGCCTGCCCTGGGCAAGAAGGAGAGAACACAGGTCTGCCCGGTGACATCAGGTACCATTATGGTAAGCAAATATACGGTGTGGTTTAGGAGAAAGAGAGCGAGGCGGAATGGTTCATGCCTTGTGGACAAAGGCAGATCTAAAGAGGTGAAGGCAGCGAGGGGGCTGAGGTGAGTGGCCTGCTTGCTATCTGGAGCTATGATGACGTCAGGACCTGGGCTGCTGCCAAGAAACATGTGTTAGTCCATGACCTCGTAGTAACCTCTGCCAGTGTTGATGTTCATGACCCCTGTTATCACCAGGGGCCAGAGGATAGGGCTGGCTGCCCAGAGTTGGTCCCGCCCCTCACCAGCTGCAGCACTCAGGAGAGCAGGCCCGGAACCTCGCCTGGGCAGCGCAGTGGAGCTGACCTTCTCAATAGGGTGCAGAGGAGCTGGCCCCACTACTCATCTGTCGTGCAGTCAGCGGGTATGGGGGAGGGAGAGATGCCCCCATCTATCTCCCCTTGCCACCTGATGTAGGTGGGAAGATTGCCCCCAGGGTCAGGAAGGCAGGAGAGCTGGCCTTGCCCCTCACCAGCTGCAGCACACGGAAGAGCAGGCACTGCACCTCACCTGGGCTTCACAGTAGAGCTGACCCCGTTGGCAGGGGTGCAGATAAATCCACCCCAAGAGCGTGAGATTGGAGGAACTGACCCCGCACCCCTTCGGATGCCAGGTGGCAGCATGGGATAAGGAAAGATGCCCTCCCCCTTCGCCCCTTGCCACTGGTGGCAAGTGAGAGAGTGGGAGAATTGGTCCTGCCCTTACTAGCTGTAACATTTGAGAGAGTGACCCCTGCCGCTCACCTGGGCAACAGTGCAGAATTGGCTGCAGGATCTCCATGACACAGGGCAACAGCAGTGTCCAAGAGGAGGCCTAATGAGGGCCCAGCAGAAACCAGAGGTCTTGACCTCGACCAGCGACTCATTGCAGCGAACACTTACAAATAAAGATGTAAGGACTGAAGGGAACACTGTGCTTCCATGATGACATTTTGTTTTTCATTTCTTTTCTTCTAAATTTTATTTTCTTTTGTTTTGGGAAGGAGGTTTCAGGAACAGAGGGCACAGGCAAAGGGATCGGGAGATGGATGGGATCGGGGTGCATGATGTGAAATCCACAAAGAATCAATAAAAGTTTAAAAAGAAAAAAAAAGAAAAGAAAAAGAAAGAGACATCTACTCAGGAAGGATTTATCTTTCCTCGGACTTTCATTATTCTTAAACAGTTTTGCAAATATAAAATTTTAAGTATATAAAGACCAAATTATTTTAAAATTTAAAAAAAATAGGAAATGGATTTTTGAAGAACGTTAATCTTAGAAATTATATTTAGTATTTATTTAAATCATATTTAAATAAATTTCCCTTACAGTTAGTAATAAATACTTTTATTCAAATGGCAAAGTGAAAAAGTCCAGAAGGCGTGTACATCCAAAAGAAAAACAAACAAAAAAAAAACCCACAACAACACACACACACACACAAAGCAGAACTAGATACAAAGGTCCAAGATAGAGCTTCAGCTTTCAGGGAGGCCCAGGAGTTTGAGGCCAGCATGAGAAACACAGCAATAATCTCAATTTAAAAATAAAACCTCAACCATGGTAGTTCTTGCCTACAGTGCACATATCGGAGGGTCTGAGGGAGAATGATTATGCATTTGAGGTGAGGAAGACACGTCGAGATTTCACTTGTAAAACCAACCGGAACCAGAAAGCTCATTATTGAGAGATTCCAGTATGCCCCACGTTAACCAATCCATAGGTCAGTGTAAGACTTTCAATCACCAAATAAAATAAGATGCCAGAAATGTACACATGTACAGATATGTATGCAAGATACATATGCCTGTGTGAGCATGGGAAGGCAATCTAGAATAGATACAGGCCATCCCAAGTGTGAGGTGAGACACATAGATGGAGAGTTCGAAGGGAGAAGGAAGAGGCAGAAAAAGAAAAGAAAGAGAGAATAGATTTCTCAGAAAGTACGACTGGGGCTGGAAAGAGAGCTGGTTATAATTCCCAGCACCCACATGGCAGGTTACACCTATTCATAATTCTAGTTCCAGGAGAACCAACTCCCTCTTCTAGCCTCTGCAGGCACCAAGCATTCAAGTGGTGCCCAAACACACATCCAAGCAAAACCCTCACCCACGTAAAATAAACAATTCTCTTTTTTATAAAAGAAAGTTTGATTGATTTTATCTACTAAAAACACTTATTTAAATTTTTTCATACATACGCATGAAGAATGTTTAAATAGAATTGTCTTAGTTAGGGTTTCTATTGCTGTGATGAAACACTATGACCAAAAAGCAAGTTGGGGAGAAAAGGGTTTATTAACTTACACTTTCATATCACTGTTCATCACTGAAGGAAGTCAGGACAGGAACCTAAACAGGGCAGGAACCTGGAGGCAAGAGCTGATGTAGAGGCCATGGAGGGATGCTGTTTACTAGCTTGCTCTTCCTCATGGCTTACTCAGCCTGCTTTTTGTTGTTGTTGTTGTTTTGTTTTGGTTTTGGTTTTTGTTTTGCTTTGATTTGGTTTGGGTTTGAGGGTTTTTGAGATGGGGTTTCTCTGTACAACCTTGGAGTCCATCCTGGAACTAACTCTGTAGCCCAGGCTGGCCTCGAACTCACAGAGATCCACCTGCCTCTGCTTCCCAAGTGCTGGGATTAAAGGCGTGCGCCACCACTGGCCTGCTGCTCAACCTGCTTTCTTATAGAACTCGGAATCACCAGCCCAGGAATGGCCCCACTCACAGTAGGCTGTGCCTTCCCCCATCAATAACTAATTAAGAAAATGTTCTACAGGCTTTGCCTACAGCCTGATTTTATGGAGGCATTTTCTTAATTGAGGGTCCCTCTTCTCAGATACCTAGCTTGGGTGGGTCAAGTTGTCACAAAACTACCCAAAATAAGAATTGGGTAGAAAGTAGAAGATGTTTCTCATAATTTGAAGATCTTTGTTTTGAGACAGGGTCTCACTATACAATGCAAGCTGGCCTCAAAAGAAATCCTCCTGCCTGAACTTCCCAAGTATTGGAAATTAAAGAGTGGACCACAGTACCCAGGCTATGTCACAAAATTTGGGAAAAATAAAAAGAACACTTTTATATCTTATTCTATATATTTGTGAGCTATTTGAAATGTAAAAAGAGTAAAATTTGAATTCATATATCATTTATTTAAGCAATCGTTTCTTAAGCTTGATCCTTTCTTAAAGAGTTAAGGTGTTTTTGCAAAATTAGTCCTCTAAAACTTTTTAAAAGCTTCTTTCTAGTTTTTAGTTTCAGTCTCTATTTTTGCATCCTAAAATATATATGCTTAATTTTGCCACTATTTATTTTAAACATGGAAATTGTTGCTTTTAAAATAGCAAGTAAAGAAAATTTCTCTGCGGTTCCTAGGAAATCACAGTGAACTGACTGACACCAGCAATGGGGAAATAAGGTCGCGTGCATACGAAAGTTGTTTTAGGATTCTGAAAAAGAACTTCCTACTAATGACAGCTAACTGACTGCAGACCCCGAAACCATTCAGGCTTGCTTTATTAACACCTCCTATGTAAGAAGCTCCCAATCCTCGCCAGCATTTGGTTTCTGATTCTTTCTTTCCATCCTGAGAGGGGTTGCTTCTACTATACGTTTCTCGTCAGCACAGCCTGCGAATTTCTCACTTACCCCACAGTGAGACCAGAAAATTCCAGTTGGGTGTGCGGAGCCTTCAAGTCGCGCCATTTGTGAACAGAACCGATGTGGACAGAGCGTTTAACAGAGCAGCTGCTGCAGCTCGCAGATACAAAGGCTCAGGTCAGGTGACTGTGGGGCTCTAACTCAAAGTGAGCACAGCAGTTTTGATCAATGTGGCCTAACCTAATTGCCACCCCTCCCCCCCAGTTAAAACTGTCCTGAGTCACTTTGTAGCTTTATTATTATTATTTAGTTGATGCCATGCTGAGACATTTGGAAATGAAAAGAAAAACAAATAATAGTTTTTCCTTTTGTTGTTGTTGTTGTTTGTGAATGATTTGTTTTGAGTTGGGTACATTTCTTTAGTCCATTGATTGCCCTGGAAATTAGCAGTCACAGATCGATAAGCCATGTCCAGCTTTATAAACAGCTGCCTGGGGTGAGAGAGACAGACAGAGAGGGGAAGAGAGAGAGAGGGAGAGGGAGAGGGAGAGGGAGAGGGAGAGGGAGAGGGAGAGAGAGAGAGAGAGAGAGAGAGAGAGAGAGAGAGAGAGAGAGAATCAAAGTTCTGGCAAACCATGCCATGCTAAAATAAGAAACATCTCCGTAGCAAGATAAGCACTTTGGCACCAGAGGGCGCTGTGCCTTCATGGATACTGCATTCCAGCGCAAGTTCATTAGACCGCAATACATGAACCAGAAAAATACTTTTCTTTCTCTATAAGGAACTGGAAAGTCAACAGTTTCCTCAGAACCCAGGTCTGATTTCAGAAGAGAACTAGAATCCCGGAGAAATTGCAGAAAACCAGAGACTAAATGCTCGAATTCACAATCCACAGCATCTTTTACTGGTCATATTAGAGAGCGTATGGTCTCACTGTCACAGTAAAGGGATCGACAGCACTGCTGGGTCTCAAAGACACCCGGAAGGAAGAAAGGCTAATGGAAGCGCCCGTATAACATACCAAAGTGGAGGCCAAATTCTCAGCTAGCACTTGTTCCAGAGTCCAGGCTCCTCAGGACTTCTCACCCCCATACCCTGCCCGAACTTCTCCAACCCTCCAGCATCTTCTCTTTCTTATAACAGCCAGCCATTGGCTCCGCTCTCTCTTGACCTCTTGGCCCTCAGCTCCGCTCTTCATCCATTTGTCCTCTTTCCTCCCTCTTCCCTCCCTCCTCCCTCTCTCTTCCTTCCCTCTTCTCTCCCTCTGTCGTTCTCCCCATCTCTCTCCTCTCATGGCTGAGTTCATTCCACCATCCATGTTCAGTCCCGGCTGCTCTGCCAGATGCCTCTGCCTGTTCTCTCCCTCATATCCGCAATACAAACCTCCTCAAACATCGTTTACTCTCAACAAAAAGGCTGGGATGTCAGGTCTCAAACCTGGGACGAAAGGGTAACTGAGGTGCCTATTTAATATATCAAGGCACACTTGGCCTCCAGGTTCTCCCAGCATGCCTGAGATCCTACCTGTTACAGGGTGTGGCTGGCAATCCTCTCCCTCTCCCCTAAATTTCTCCAGTTCGGGGACTAAGATGTCCTGCCCCCAGCTGCCCTTTCCTGTATAATCCAAACGTTTCAGTTATTCTTTTGTCTACCCTTGTCTGTCCTGGCTCTCCCTTCGCTTCCCTTCCCCTCACAGGGTCCAGGTCATGTTCCCTCTGGATTCTCCCACGTTTCTGTCCCTGGGTATGCTATTCCTTTTATCCACATTAAAGTTTTCTCCTCTTCCATACCTAGGAGCACAGTCATGTCCTTTCTTTTAAACTTTTCTTTCTTTCTTTCTTTTTTTTTTTTGTTCAACTGGTGCCCAAACCCTCAGAATTGGCACATATGGGTTCCCTGCCAAGGAACTCGGCCTCTCCAAACCAAGCGGCTGATTTGGCTCTAAGGTGTGTGTGTGTTTATCATTTGTTCTGCCGACTCCTGCCTCCCATTGAATTTTACCCCAAATTCCAGAGTTCACCTTCTCAGCTCCATCTCCCTTGCATGTGTTCTAACCGTTCCTTTTCCTATGCCATGAGTGTCTCTCTAACTCCTGGAGACGGCACCCTTCCAAGCCACCCACCTGAGTGTCCCACATCTCTCCGCTCTGCCCTGCGAGAGCCATCTGGGTATCTCTGCTAAAGGCACCTGCTAGCTCTCAACTTCCGGTCCCAAGGCTCGTGGCTTCTACACTAATTGGCACTACTTGGCGTCCTTGTCCTGTCTCAGCTCCCTCCTGCAGTATCCTATGACCTGTTCCCTCTCCTCCCGCTAAGAGCTTCCTACAACAGTCCTGCAGCTTCCTTAAACCCTCTGGGCCTCTGTCCCATCTGTCCCTCAACTCCCTCCTGGAAGTCCTGCAGCTTCCCTACACCCTCGTGGCCCCTAGATTTTGAAACTGTCCTTGAGGTGGAGTTCCTGCTTGTTCCTCCATTTTGCTCCTGGCTACACAGTTCTCTGTGTCTCAGCTCCCTCTTGGAGTTCAATGGAATCCTCCCTGTGAGGGGTTCGTTTCACAATCCTTCCCCCTTTCCTTCTTTTTCTTTTTTTTTTTTTTTTCTTTTTTTTGGTTTTTCGAGACAGGGTTTCTCTGTAGCTTTGGTGCCTGTCCTGGAACTAGCTCTTGTAGACCAGGCTGGCCTCGAACTCACAAAGATCCTCCCGCCTCTGCCTCCCGAGTGCTGGGATTAAAGGCGTGCGCCACCACCGCCCGGCTCCCCCTTTCCTTCTTGAACCTAGTTTCTTCCTCATACTCAGAGATTTTATTAAAGCCTTGTTGTCTTACTGCAGACAACTTGGCCTCAGTACAGATCAATGGCCAAAAAATGGCACTGGATTTTCAAATTCTCACAGATCGTAACCACTGCCAGAGAAGACATAAATGATCCCAAATCTCTTATGTTTAAACTAGCTCTGTTCTACACTTCCTCTACTTCTGACTCTTAAAAATATTTTATCTATAATATCTCTGCATTCTGTTCTCAGAATGAAAAATCTCTTTAAACAATTCTGTAACTCCATCTCCAGATTTGTAAGTTCATTTGGATATGATTTTAAAAATCTATAAAAAATCTGTAACAAAATTTAGCTTTAAACTTATACCAAAATGTTTATAATTAAAGACCTAGGGCTGGGCGGTGGTGGCTTATGCCTTTAATCCCAGCATGGGGTGGGGGGACAGAGGCAGGTGAATCTCTGAATTTGTG